CATCACACCTGTTTCTGATCAATGATAACCGGCAGCGAGTCCTCAGTTGCCGCCCTTGGGGCATTGTCGTCCTGATCCTTCAACGTAAACTTGTAGGCACTGGCTGGCACCGAGATCAGAATTTTTCTCTTGGGCGCGCCCAATCCGCTGATTAAGTCGATCAAGCTGTCCGCGTTGAACATGTCGAAGAGTCCCATCAATCGTGACGGATGAAACGTACGATTAGCCTCGTCATCTTCGATCAAGTAGTGAGTTGGTAACGTGAATAGATCCACGTATCTAACAATGAACAGACACGGAACCGTAGAGTAATTTGCATTGAGTAAAAATAGTTTTACGGATACGAAGTAGGAAGGAAAAAAGAAGGTGGAGAAATATGATCATCTGGCGATTTATCAAATTCGATGAATCACTTTTGAAAATGTATACGTAACGCTAGTTTACGCTGTTCAATGTAATCATCTGGTGGAACATGTCGCTTGTCTCACCTAGGCAATTAACACTTTAAGCGCCGAGCTCGCCTAAATGCGTTTTTACATGTTTGTGTAGGAAAAAATATGATATCTCTTGAACAGCAAGTGGCTGAATATTTATATGATTAAATGTGAAATTTTTCAATAGAAATTTTCTGTTTTACAAGAGTTATTTTATTTTATTTGGTAAAAGTGCAAAACTTTAAGTAAGGTTTCCAGCAAAATAGCCGACGCTTTAAGTGTTAAGGTTGCTGCAAAGTGTGGCTTCAACCGGGTATTCGCCAGGAGTTCATTCATATTTCAACAACAGTTTCGAATATCTTAGAGTCATACATATTCAGTGGAATATACTGTGTACGGCTGCTAAACAATGCGAATCACGGGTACACCGATTGTGTGGAATTTTGCTCTTGACTTACTTACAAGCCTAATCCTGAAATCGCTTTTACATTTCTGTTCGTAAGTATTAGGACACGTGTTACGTTCGTACAGAAAGTGTTTTGTTATTTAAATTAAAGTAAAAGTAACACTTTGCTGAAGTTAATGTCGTTGGGTAATGTGTAAAGTCCAGGGAATTTAGGTACTTTACACTTTGCTCAGGTAAAGTATACATTGCCAATAAAATGTGTCCTCATTATACAAAATAATTTTTTTTGTTGTGGATCTCAATAATTTTCCAATGATTACTTAACTCTGCTCCGCATTATTTACCAAATCTCCCAAAAATCTCACGAAATGTAAACAAACATTATGCAATACGCGAGAAGTGTGCCGAAAGTCTGAGATAAAAAGTGACGCTAGAATTGATTTCAAAGTAAACACAAACCGACACAATTTTTTCCGAGGGTCTCAATAATTTTCCAATGATTACTTAACTCTGCTTCGCATTATTTACCAAATCTCCCAAAAATCTCACGAAATGTAAACAAACATTATGCAATACGCGAGAAGTGTGCCGAAAGTCTGAGATAAAAAGTGACGCTAGAATTAATTTCAAAGTAAACACAAATCGACACAATTTTTTCCGAGGGTCTCAATAATTTTCCAATGATTACTTAACTCTGCTCCGCGTTATTTACCAAATCTCCCAAAAATCTCACGAAATGTACACAGAAACCTTATGCAATACGCAAAAGATGTGCTGAAAAAGTCTGAGATAAAAAGTGACGCTAGAATTACTTTCAAAGTAAACACAAATCGACGATAAAAATCACGAGTGAAGAACAAACGAAACATTTCCTCGACAGTTTTACCAAATCACTTTCATCTTGCAACTTTATCAGCGATAAAACGTTCTTTCAAACACATTTACCCTTCTTTCACGTCAGACTTCAACGCGCCTTTTTCCACGTGACGAAACTTTCGTTCTTCTCGAACTCATTCGTATTCTCGTCTGTCCTGCCTTATACCCGATCCTTCATCCATATTCAACGAAAAAAATACCAAACAGTTCGACGACTGACGCTCCGTTAATTGCAAGGCGCGTGAAAATCCGCGGACAAACGGTTGATCAACTGGTG